AAGTACTAATCTTTTACTTATGCAACAATTTGAAAACGTACTTGATTAAGTTGGCTTATAATACGATTGCTCTGGATTCACTTTGAAACCTCATAGTCTGTGTAATTCCACATACATCGTGATTACTTTATCTTTTTTTTGTAACTTCAGCTAAAATGTCAGTTCTATCTTGACCAGAAAGATGTTTATCGTGCTATCCACCTTTTTTTGTCTTACGATTTTCAAACAGTTTGTGCGCGAAAGCTCCTGTTATCCTTTTGTACTCTGTTATTTCTTTCAAAGTATTGTGCGTGACCAGTTCGAAAAAAAAAACACAAAAAAATTTATATACATTTGTTTTACAAAATGAAATACTACGATATCCCCTCTCTAGACCGAAGTGAAAAGATACGTTATCCCCTCTCTAAACCGAAAAACGTTATCCCCTCTCTAAACCGAAGTGAAATGACATTTCAGAAGATGAATGTCTAAGATTCATTAGCATCTCATCGTAGAGATATAAAACATTTTGGGGTCTATTATCCTCATCAAACAGGATTCTCAATCGAACTCGATCGAGGCATTTTTGAAAAACAATGAAATTGAATCAAAATTGAATTTGTATGGACTTGCGGATCATTTCTGCAACATCAGAGACTTAAATCCAAAAAAACCTCTCCAATTGATTATCTACATGATTAGTTTCTAAATAGGAAACTACATTCTCAAAAAAACTTAACATCGATTGGTTGTACAACATATCGGAGCCAACTTATATCAACCGGAATAACTATAAGGCCCTAGTGGCTACAAAACTATCATAAAGCGCCTTTCGTCGAGTGTCATCCCGTGCGGTTTGAGGATGCACCTCTTCATCGTAAGGCCTTGCATTTGGAGGCGCTCTTCGTGGGATTGCCGTGTCGACTAGGCCATCTTCAACTGTTCCGAATTCACCATGCCATCTGTCATCACTACTAGTGGTGAAATTGTGGAGAATGATACAGACCCGAATCCAAACGTTTGCTCGCTGGGCGCTGCGTGTTCCGTTGAGCAATATGCGTAGCTCCTTCAAAGACTGAAAGCGACCTTTGAGCATGCCAATGCTCTGTTCGATTATCACTCGGATTCTACTTAGTTCCTGATTGAAGGCCTCCTGATGATCGCAAAGTGGTTGACCAGGGGCACGTTTAAAGGGGGTAATGACGCTCTGAGATGTGGTGTATCCTGAATCGGCTAACATATACTCGTCTTCACATAAAAAATCACTAGGTTTACAATAAAGCTGGGAAGGGTATGTCAGAATAGATTACAGAAAAATTGATCGAAAGCACTTACCTCTGAAGAAAGGTAAGCTCGTTGGTCGTGAGCTGATCCACACCAACCCAGTTCGTAGTACCTGAACAGCTTATGTACATCACATACTAACATAACATTAAACGCATAGAACTGTTTCCTAGTCCAATAATCTTCCGGATTTCGTACAGGTGCAAAAGCCAGGGGGACGAGAGTGCCGTCCATGAATGCCACACAGTCTTTGAAATGACAGTCTTGAAGCATCGATTTGAGTTCGCGGCGTTCCTCAACGTTGGGCCAGTTGACCCAATTTTTTTCGATTTGAAGAATTGCATACATACATCGATTAGTCCAATTATGGACACTTCCCTCTATAAAGAAACATTCATCAGCTTTTGGAAAGATTAGTACAGTCAAAAGACTTACCAGATATATGAAACATGTAAGCAAGATGTGAGATATCACCCCCGTTTCCTGAGGTTCCCAGATTTGCTAGGGCCACCAAAAGCTGCCATGCTACTGGAGCCTGTTTGTTATCAGACTGGTTTTGAAAAACATGACTATCTTGAATACATCTCACTAACTTCCAAAATTGCTCGTGAGTCATTCGAGCCTACATCACGAAAAGATCCGTAAATCAGGTCAGATACCGTTAACTTTTAAAGCTACAACAAGATTGATATGAAAAGCACAGTTGACCTGAATCACTTACAATCGCTAAGAAAGGATCACCACCTTCGTCAAGTCTTTGAGGAAAAGCAATGTTTCGGATACCTTTACGTTGACGAGCTGGTCGGTCATGCACATAGCGAGTCGAATTTAAGATCTTGAGGGCTTCCTCGAATAAATTGATGTCGTTTTCAGCAAGTTTCTGTAGACGACGACCAAGCAGAACGAGTTTGTAGGATTCCGTCCTCGCCAAATGAAACTCCAAGGCGCCAAGCAAAATAAGTAAAAGTGGCCTTCTTTCCTCAGAATCGTCCAAATGATCTTCCTGACCATCCTCGGATTGCTGGTTGGTATGTAGATTTTGGTTGATGATGATCGCTTGAAGACATCGTATTAAGAACAGGCTTTCGGCATCCGTCTTCTTCTTGAAGGCCAGAATAGCCACTCGATTATTGGCCACTTGTTTCATTTGATCGATAGCAACATGTACGTAGTGTTTAAGTTGTTTGCGGAGTCCCTTTCGGGCCATAGTGTGGGGTATGACAGAGGTGAGGTGTAAGCTGGGAGAGAGGTGAAGGGATCAGACAAGCGGTGGCGCATGGAGGGAATAGGAAAAGGACTTGATCCAGGGATGTATTGGACCCTAGGGTCCTGGAAAGGGCATTCAAATATCTTTTTTTTCCACAAGTCCACGAAGCCAGAATACAGCCAAATATTTCTTTTCTGGCTTCGTGGAAAAGTGATCTGGAACTTTCGTGGAAAAGTTCCAGAAGAACTTTGTGTAGTACAACTGCTACTTGCCACGTCCATCCCTTCCTGTTTAACAATAAGTCCAAGGCGGAAAGATACCGTCAGAGAAAGGTTTAAATGGAAGTTACCTGGCACATAAATTTGTTCAGCAAACTTACCAATTCAAAACCCCGGTATGAGTACGGTACAAGCTGATGCCAAGGAGAACGGAGGGGTTGATATGATGAATGCGCGCTTTGACTGCACTTGGAAAAGGTGAAGTGAGGAAATGTTGCATATACACAACGGCCACAATTGATGTTTGAGCAATTGCCCACCAAACCCTCCCACAAGATTATCAGATGTACTAATTATATCACCAGAGATGGTGTCAGATTTTTGAGCTTGTTTCAAGAAGGCTTGGCCTTGATACATTTTTTCTAGTTATTTCAAAGTCCGAAATGAATTCACAAAAGATGATGAAAACCTCATAATAATGATAAGTTCAACAGGCGTATACTTATGGCCCTCGGGCTCTGCTTCAGGTAGTTTGAAAGCTGTCCAAAACACAAGGAGTGAAACATCTATGTTTCTATCTGTGTACAGCTAGGGCTTTGATTTTGGACTTGTGATAATGATCTCACCAGATTCTTTTGAAAGATACTTAAAGGGAATGGTGATATACATTACACAATAACAACTCTTTCAACAAACCATCAGCGCATGAATACATCAAATTGTATGTCCAAGAAATGTGAAGATGGATATCAACCTATATATTTTACAAAACTTCGCCTACTACATAAACTAAACACGAATGTATGCTTGCGATTTGTCTGAGGTCAGTTTCGTCCTCGATCGTTGAGCCTAAGTAGGCGAGTCATGTGATGTGATCCAGCTGAGTACAACCTTCTCGCGCGCTTTTGTAGCATTCATGGTCAATATGTTGAATGTTTTGCCAATGATTCACCATGTTGACTATGCTCGATGGGTGATGTGTATCGTAGTTCCTTGATCCGTAAGCCAAGAGATGTTCCATGTGTCCAAGTGATCAATTCCAATACCGAAAGATCATACCACACCAGAGTCTCCAGTGACCAAGACAGCCGGTGGATTAGTATTCCCATTAGAATTATTCGAAGACTGTAAGATTCCCATCACGATATTCGATCCATCACGTCTTTTTTGTCGTTCGACATAAAGCTCTTGAACTTCTCGTTCTTTAGAATCGAGTAGTGTATGAAGATTATAAAGTGAATCGATGGGTAATCCACCAAATCCACTTAACGAGATCTCATTAATCAATTTTTCAAATCTTGTTAATAAATTCTTTAATCTTTCAAACGTTAGAGTAGGTGATGGATCTGAAGTATACATCTGTTCACTTTTCTCGTGTTATCAAAGAAACCCCCAAAAGATCCATCAATTCAAAGTCACCTAAAGGATATCATCATCATCAATCATGACTTACATACTACTAAACACCACATCCGTCTCATGAATCAAATCTTCCACTTCTTCAAAAACAATACACAATTCCTTTCTAACCGACTTAACATCGCCATCTTTTCCAAGTGTCGAAAGTGAATTAAGAAGTAATGAAGACGGATGATTTTGAGAAGATTCATTAAACTCTTGATGATGATTGAAATTAGAGATAGTTGATAAGTTTGAACGAATCGGTGGTTCAGAAGTTGGTAAATAGATGGTGGGTTCTGCGAATTGAGGATAAAGTAATGGTGGTGGAAAGTTAGGTTGGTCTACTGTGAAGAATCCGTGAGATGATTGAGAATGATTTGAGGTCATCTTGGTGAATTCTTGATGTTTTCTGGCTAAAATGTCGAAAATTTGACCTGGAAAGCGGAAAGCCTTTTTTTCCATCCCCCGTGATGGCTTGAGTCTTGGCCCCGCGGGTGTATGTCTGAGTATGCTTTCAAATCTGAATATCCGATATTCCGGTTCATGATCTTCGGGTAATCCGGATGATTGGATTCAGTTGAGCTTTGGGTTGTTGATGATCAACGCTTTCTGTTTTCTTCAAGCTATTGAACATTACCATTCAGAATTCAATTGGATGAGAAATGTCAAACCGAATCAAACATGATGATATCCTTTTACTAGAGCAACCCTTCCTAAAGGTAATTCAATTCATTCATTTACCTTTATTTGATGATCTCTTAAAACTGACCTATCCTTTATTATGACGATGATGATCACATAGGTCCCATCTGATAATCTTCGAAGTGCTTTTCGATCAACTCAACGTCTCTTAGAACGTGATTTTGATAACTCAATACAAGTCTTCGAGATGTTAGTAAACATTATCAAAGG